AAGAAAAGGCGCAAAGACCGGGCAAAGAGGAGGATCCAGTCGTAGTTCATTGTAAGAGCTGCGAGTTCACGGTCGCCAGGACCGTGAACTGGAACCACGAACCGCTAAGAGAAGGGCGTCCAAAGAGGTTTCATAGGTTACTGACACCTAGCCAGTTCACGGTCGTAAGACCGTCAACTGAAGCCATGGACCGTGAACTCAACAAATTAAGCGACACTTTTTGGGCTGTGTTCACGGTCCCGCTTGATGTTCACAGCTGTGAACTAAGACCTTGAACTGGGCGCGATCTATGTATAAATGAAGAGCTGAAAAGAGGAAGAAGGGGAGCCCAAAGTGAGAGAAAGCTTCTTCTTCATGAAACCCTGGAGAGAGAAAGTCAGGAACCAAGAGGGAGAAGAGGCTAGGGTTTGCTCCAAGTGAAGATTTGAGAAGTTCCTCTTGAAGAGAGGATCTCTACAAGCACAAGGAGAGTTGGAGGCATCACAATGATGATTTCTCTCTTTTTCCTTTTTGTTCTTCCTTTTTCTAGCATGGAGTAGTCTCCCTTTTCACTTGGGTGTTGTAGAACCCTTACTTCTACCATGTAGTAGATTGTGTGGATTGAATGATTGTGTGTGGGTGGTGTTTAATTTAAGATATGAAGTATTTTTCATGGTGATTGTGCATTGTGTGTGATTGGCAATCTATTGTGCTATTCTAACCTAGCTTAGAGAGAACCCCTTATCTTAAGAGGCTCAAATTGAGCTAGGTATCTTAATGTAGGGCAAACCTCTAAATTTGAATAAGACACCTAGGTTAATTGTGATTATGCCGTCCAAACATTGGTTTGAGGTAGAAGGTAAGTCAACCCTTAATTGCTTGGGCCAAGAGGGCTACAATTGTAGCCTATAATGCTTTCCTTGGCCTAGCAATTGAGAGGATAGTTTCTAACCATTGTTGCAACTCCTACGGTTCTCAATTGCCTTGTCGCACACAGATTCATTCGATCTCACGGTTCATGGTAGTTAGTTAGAGAGAAGGAACTCCGAGTGAAGCTTCTCACCAAGAGTTTCAAACCTTTTACTTTTCAAGTCTTGCTTTTCAATAGTAGATTGTAGAGATTTTCCAAAACAACATTCCGTTAGATAATGTTTCAAACAATTGAATTAGGGGTACATGGGCGGCCTGGGTTGATATTTAAACATACTTGCACTATATTGCACCCATTTAAGGTTTATACTTGGGCCTTAGGTGGGATATTAGTGTGATATTAGGATCGAGTCAAGAAGAAAGAAATAGTTGAGCTCGTTTCGGCCCATGGGAATCAAGAGGGTAAGTTGCTTCTGAGGCTGCTGCCAAGTCAAAACTGGGCCAAGAAATGGCTTAGTTGCAGGCTTAAGGTTCGAGAAAGGTGGGTTGAGCAAGAGATCACAACTAGGCCGAGAATTAAGGAAACAGATGGTCTTCAAGGAAGACTTGGAATTTAAATGGGTCCCTTGGTTAGATGTCTTTTGTATGGAATGGGCTGGAAAGAAAAAGAAAATAGTCTTGTGGGCTTAAGTGATGGGTTCTCAAAGAAGTGTGGGCCAGGAGCAATTGAGGATAAAACTAAAGAAGTTGATGGACTAATTCCAAAGAGGATCAACTCTAGTCCATAGTTTCAAACGTATGACATATATGGATTAGTATGGGACACTAACTTGGAATTCGAGATTCTTGATGGACTCATACCAATGAGAGATGAACTATGGAGGTTTGAATCTGTCAAGGAAGCGAATAGTGGGCCTATAGTAATAAATTTAAAAGAGTTGGACCCGAACAAGGAGATCGTTGGAAGAAGCCCAAGTTGAGTAGTGGAGCACGATTGGAAGAAAAGGAAGTGCGAGAAATGGAAGAGTCATGACGTGATGAAGTGGGTTGAGTCGGTTAACCTTGAGGGCAAGGTTGGTCTCAAGGGGGAGGGTATGATAGAAACACGAATTATTTATTATGGTAGATAATTATCATTAGGGTTAGTAGTATTCAGGTCGTATTAGGTTATTTATCAGGTTTATCCCAGTCTTTAGCTATAAAGATGTACTTTGGATCATTTGTTCGATTAAGCAGAATCCGTAAAAGAATTATCTTCCCAAACTCTAAACTCTCCCTATCTCCGAATTTCTCTTCTTCGCTAGTCCAAGGCTTCGGCCGATTCTAATTTTATTCTTCCTCTCATAATCCCAATCTCAATCCCTAATTCTATTCGTATAAACCCTAAGCCCCAAATATCAAACCCGATAGAAACCGTGTTTCTATCATTTGGTATTAGAATCATGGTCACAAATCTGAGGTCATCACAACTCGTAGCCGGGGACAAGTTCTACAGCTTGAAAGTCTAACGCGAGCAAGCAATGAAAGTTTTGGAGAAAAACATACAATATTTTGAGAAGTGTTCAATGCATCCCACTGTTTATACATGAATCTCCATGTGGTCAATGCATCCTTTAGGATCAAGTATCTTGGGTAGCTATCCTACTTCTTGGTGTTATAGGTTACCCGCAATTAAAGAGGGATAATGCTTATCCAATATATTTTTGAACTGCTTGGTGATTATAACTTTAAGTTGAAGACTGTGAACTAGTATCCACACCCATGAAGTAACACCCTATCTTGTACGTCTTTCCTAATCATATAGTTCATACAATTGCAGCGGAATTTAAAACTGGTGTTACATTAATTACCAAAACTGACCCAAATAAAATTTTGACATGAACTACTCACGTAATGGGCTAACAGTTCTTGCAACTAATCATGCAAAATAATTAACCTGAATCCCTGCATTCATAGGCATACATATATACTCACAACCATATGCATTGACTTTTCATAGCCATAGTCACAATTTCATACTCCACCACTGCATACAATACTTATACATGTCGTAGACGTCACAACTTACACAACCACAAAAAGATACACATATCATCAACTTTCCACACATATGGATATCTAACATTACATCACAAGCTAGTATGTACATGAAAAACATTCTCAAAACATTTTTACAAAAAGGTGTGGATCACTGTTAAAAATCTCAAGTAGTCGTCCAAGCACAGAATAGTTGAAGACCATACCTCATCTTGCCTTCAACTCTTGCTTAGCTCCCACCTATACACCTATCTACCACTTATGATGAATCTGCTTACACATGGCATAAGCAAAGGAAAATGATAAAAGAGGGTCAGCTCATAGTTGAGAGACAATCGTTGCATCGTGAGTTCATAAAAAAGCATACCCCTACCATACATCTAGCAATCAAGCCAAACAACTAGGGTCAAACCTCAGCCATCCAACACCCCAACAAGCAAAAGACTCAACCACCTTGACTTATGCATATGCGTCTTATCATGTTTTACTTATAAGCGCCTGCCTACTCCCATGTTAATAACTCTCTCGGGCCACCATACACACCCAACATCCCGTAGGATGTGGTCATACATGCATACATACATACTCCCATACCACCATAGGTGAAGCCATACTGACACCATTCTGGGTGTGGTCATATCTCGTGAATAATCTTCAGTCACCACCACATGAGAGGTGTGACTATCATGCATATCATAATCTTTAGTCAACACCACAAGACAGGTGTGACTATCATGTCATAACGGAGTAATAGGATGTGGGGCCCTAATTACTATGTAATTGACCATGAGCCCACACACTCTTGTTTGGTACCCTTATACATGATTCATAAATCATCTTGATTAATCTCAATTCTTTACTTGGACATATACTTGACCTGGCCATAATTGGCTCAACATAGGTAACCTAGGAGTCGTATGACTGCACTTCCTCGGGATAACCATCGTGCAAGTCATCCTCCTTAAACATCTTAATATCATCTGGGAAAGTATATTTTTCCACTTGTGACTCCAAATACAACAATTATAAGAACTCATATTTAGGCAAACCAACATAGAGGCATATCCACAATTAGACCCACAAATGGCAACATATATCCAATCATCATCATAACAAGGTCCATAAAGATTAGGGCAAGACAATATATCATATAGCACTCAAGGATTCATCATATAGCACAAAAATCCATATACCCCTAATCATGCCATTCTAGTTCACCTAGATCAATTCTAAGCATCAATATAATTATCATGATACCACAAGCCCGCTATGATGTGCTAATCCCTCACCAGTTATGGTCGTTCTAACACTGATTTTAACTTCTCGTACTAAAACATCAATTTCACCAACGAACTCAGAATCAAAATCCGAGATCGTCCTAATACCCCATGCAGTGTCCCAGTTACTATTAGTACTAGGCTCTGGGTCAAATTCTTGATAAAAATACATCAAACCCTAGCCTGAGCTAAATTAAACGATTCAGACTCCGGCCTAAATAATTGCGAAAATTCAAAGATTAGAACTAGAAAATTCATTATCTCGCCGCTGATAGCTTGTATATGAAATTTGGGTTTAATCCGGCTTTCGGAACATTCAAACCCCCAATTTCTTTGATAGGGAAAACAAGAAATCAGCTTACCAAAACTATGGTATAAGGTCGGAATTGATGAACTACACTATAGAGAAGATCTACCTACCGATTGTAGAATTTTTGTATCACCAGAACCCGATATTCAAAGACAGGGATTTCCTCTGGAACGCCCCTTGTTTCTGTTCTTTGTCCCTCGACTCATGTAAAGGAAATAATGTGGAAGAACGGAAAGGAAGTGGACATATATATGGAATGGAATGGTGTGCGGTTCATTCTCACTTTTAATTTCATTTTCTTTTACTTCCCTTTCTCTTTTTAATACACACATGACACATATCCTCACATCACACCAAGGTTGTCAAACCGGAGTTGAACCGTTCGGTCGAACCGGGTCTGGCCAGAACCGGGTACTAAAATGGCTAGCCACAGCCATATATCATTTATGGCCTGTAGCCGTTCAAAATCGGGCAAACTCTGGACGGACCTAACCGGCTACCGGCCATCAACAAGCGGCGTCGTTTTTGTCATTTATTGGATTTTCTTATAACCCTATTTTCCATCGCAGCCGCAGCAGTCCAAAGGAATCCCTTATCCTTCTTCCAGATCCCTTCCCAATTAATTGCTAGATCTCAAGTCCCAGTACACAATCTCTAGAACACTCTTGTATCCTCTGTTCCTGAAACCCTTACATGCCTCTTTGTAGTCCTTCTCCCATCTCTCCTGGTCGAATCCAGACTCCTCGCCGCAACTACTGAAGAAGAACACCATTTTTTCCATCTTCTCGTTCCCCAAATTCTCAGTTATCCCGACCTGCAACATCCTGTGGTAGACCTTAAGGAAGTTGAGGTCCTCCCCTGAGTTCTTTTCCCACAAATACTCTGACTTGGAGCTGAAATCGTCACCCTCGACCTTCAACCACTTTGGGGGATTGCTAGATGTGAATGCTTTCCCTCTCCACGGGTCGCTGCTGTCTTCTAGAACTAATAGTGCCATCGTCACGCAGAGGTACGCTTCTACTAGATATCTGTACTCGTTGAATCCTTCACGCGAGAAAATCCTTCGAGCGATGCTCTGGTAGATCAGAGTCGAAAATGAACAATTATTCGAGGAGGGGAGAAAGAAATAGTTTTTTAATTAGGAGTTAATGGCTCTCCAATATGAACTACGAACATATCTTGTCAAAACCGTCTATACCCGGTTCAACCCCGATCCGACCATTAAACCTTGAACCCCTTGCCAAACCGACTAGATGGCTTAATCCGGTTTGACAACCTTGCAGCACACACGTACACACACATATATATATGACAAAGGTTAGTGTACGTCAGTCGTAAGTTGTACGCTTGTGTTCACACTTGGTTTTTGCACTTCAATATATTTTGCTGAATCTGAACCGTCGGTTATGATTTTTTAGATTAAATGAATCTTTTGGCTTGAGTTAGAGAATTAGGGACTGAGGTTTATATATATTGATGGACCCCGTATTAAACCGACATCGTTTAATGCGTCACTTTAACCAAAAATAATTTATCGATAAGAACACAAAGTTATCATGCCCTCTATTCCCTCACCACACGTTGGAGAGCCAAGCAAAGGTAAACTTTGTCTTGTTGTCAAGTAATTAATCATTGCTAATTGGTTGATTTATTAGTTGTTTCTATCTCTCGCCCAACCAACCAAATCCACTTTCCCAAATGACAACCACGTGTTAAAAGGTTAAAATTGGAGGGTTTGGGTTTAACTCCTTATTACCACCCACCATCCCACTTATATGGACTCATAAACATTAATTCTACACCTCAACAAATTTACTTTCCAATGTGCGAAGGTATTAGTTGGTAGATGGCTTATAGGAAAACCCTATTAAGCTACACGTGGACAAAATGATAGACACATTTACCATGTCACTGTTTGGTGCACAAGCAACCAATTTGGGAACTTATACTTCCCCTCAAATTATCACCTCACATGGCCACGTATTTGCCATCACACCTTCTCATACATGGCCAACAAATTTGGAGTTAATAATCCATCCTGGTGGTATAAAAAATAAAAAAAAAAATCCATCCTGGTGGTATAAAAAAAAAAAAAAATCCATCCTGGTACCCCCTCATAACCACGTGTGTAAGTTGTGTTCTTCTTTCTTCCATAATATGTTACTTATTTGTTTGCTACTTTTATTTACACTCACCTTGCACTTAATTTGATCGGTTGATGGAATGGTGGTGATTTGATTTTTTACACCCAACCATCCATCGCACATTGGGTGGTTGGAAGATTAATATAATTTATATTGTTATTTTATTATTCACACGCCATCTACGTCAAAAGCAAGAGGCACCTATAAATAGGACGCTCATTTATACTTTATGGGCAGTTCATTCTCGATTTGAACTTCTAAATCTCTCTCAAGAGCTGGCTCAATACGCCGCTCCCGGTTACTCTCCTCTCAATATTGACTTAAGCTTCGGAGAAGGTCCCCGCCGACCACCGTCGGCGGGTCCTCTTTTGCAGGTGTCCATCTCGAAGGTTGGTGGCGGACGTTGGTCAGGAAGTCGGCACTCACTGAACCTCAAACACATTGAAGCAGGCTCCTCGGAGCTTGTCATCAATATATATATATATATATATGCTAGCGGACGCTAACCTACTGTACGCCCATTGATTTTTGTTATTTAGACAATGAATTAAGTGGAGTTTGAGGCATGATACTATACCCTAAACCCTAATGCATGAATTCCAACCCCCAATTCACTAACCCAAACCATGAGATTCGTTTAATCTTGAAATAAAAATCAACGTTTCTGATTCGTCCAAATTAGCATTGATTTTCATTTGAAAATTAAACGAATCTCATGGTTCGGGTTAGAAAATTAGGGATTGAGGTTCGCCCATTCTAGAATAGGGTATAGTATCATGCCCCAAACTACGGTTAATTCATGATCTAAATAGTAAAACTCAATAGGGCGTACGATAGATTAGCGTACGCCAGGGTGGAATCTGGGGTATCACATACCTTGAGTATGAAAACACTATCCAGACCTTGAATTGACAACTCTTGACAGCTCATGAGATGGCTCAACTCTCAACATTGTGGTTCGAGAGCCAACTCGATTACCGAGTTATGAGCGAATCGTTTTATATGAGTTTAATTTTGATAATTCATAGAATTGTTAAATCACATATCTTATCTTATATAATTTTAACAGGTAGATTATGTGAACAAATATGTCTTATTTAATTTTAAAATAAATTATGTATCATATATTGCTTCGATACTATGAAATAACTTAATTTTCAATAGTTAAAATCTATTAGCTAAATAATTTGATACCAAAAAGTATAACATGAGATTAGTTAATATTCAACACTTAACTATTATTATCATTGTTTTCATCTTGACATTAATCACATGTACAATGTATGACATACAAAATGAATATATCAAGCTAGCTCGAACTCGACTCGACTCGTTAATAAATGAGCCGAGCTCAAACTCAGCTCGTTTATTAACGAGCCGAACTCAAACTGGTGTAAAACTCGACTTGGCTCGACTCATTTGCAGCCCTAGCCGAGACTGAGTTTGGGAATGGGAAGGAACTAACTTGGAAGCAAGAAGAGTACTTAGAGTCAGAGAAGGGATTGGTCTTTTCTGACGGACACAAAATCTTAAGACAATCTCGTGCTATTGTTGCCTTTTACATCATTCCATCAACTCACACTGGGTAACGGCCAAGTAGATTTAATCATTCCCTTAATTAACCAAGACAAGTTTTCCAGCAGAAGGTGATGGTAACTGGTTATGGAACTTGAGCCGTGTAAACTGCAATGTGCCATGTTTCAACTTCCGACTCTTCTCTGGTGAACAGCCAGCTAGGTAAAGAACTACATGAGGCTTCAAGTCCACCAAGTATATGTACTTAGAGAAATGCCAGAAATAGGTTCTAGTTTGCAGTGTGTTTGCAGCCAACAGAAGTCGGATATGGTGTTGTCATACATGAGGCTTCAATCCGTTTCTTGTTTGGTTTCTCATACAAATTTCTGACTCCTTCTAAAACTGAGTCCACGATACTCAATTTTTAACCTCTCAGTTCCTCAAGATTGGTTCATCATTCACACCAGGTGGCGGGATAACTTTCAAAGCTTCAAAGCCATGACAAAAACCCATAAATTCTTTTTACATACTCCACAAGCTAAAACTACCGCACAAAAAAATAAAAAAATAAAAAACATCCTAGCACCAGCTAGAAGTTCCACTAGTTGAAATTGACTCTGCCAACAACAACCCTTCATTGGGTGGATGAAGAAATTTGGTGGGGTTCCCAGAACAGCAGAACTTCGACTAGCATATAGGTGATACATTTGTTCTACACTACCATGTTAATCAATCTTGGATCATTCTCTTGCACACCTGCTTAAATAAAAGTTAGCACATAAGTACTTTTAGGCTTTGTTCATATCTTGCGCAAATGACATTTAATATCGAAGGCTTCTCAGAATTCAAACATAAGATCTTCCGGTCAAAGAATTTTATGTCATATTGAGAATATTTTGTTGTTTAAGTGGAAGAAAGAACCATTGTGTTTCAACTGCTCATATTCATTGGAGTCATAAAAGAATGAATACGCTGTATAGTTTGAAAGTTGAGATTATTCAAATGTGTATTGAAGAAATGCATGCGAATTTGATGATATTATAAATTAGTTGGTCCTAAATTCACATCGATTCTGTTGGTGCCTATATAAACTGGGGGACCGGTTATTGTAACAACACTAGTCCCCAACCAATAGGAAGCTAGGATTGTGATGACTTTTTATTAGATGAGTTGACCTAGTGTAAAATCAAAGCAGGGGTATAATTGTCATTATGAAAAATCTATTTAGATAAAAAAAATAAAAAAAATAAAAAAATAAAAAATATTTTTTTATTTTCTGCCCAAAAATTTGGTCGTCGGAATTCTGCCACCGGTCGCCGGAAAATGGGCGCCGATCACCGGAATATGCTTTTTGTCGCCGGAATATGCTATTTTGTGGCCGGAATATACTTACCGGAGTCGGAATATGCTTACCGGCGTCGGAATATGCTTACCGGCGTCGGAATCTAGTCACCGGGGCCGGAATATGCCTATCGGCGTCGGAATCTGCTCACTGACGGTCACCGGAGTTTGGTCAACGGTCTTCGTTGACCGGTCAATGGTCTTCGTTGACCAGTCAACGGTCAACGACCACCGGATGTTATGGTCTGCATTGTGAGATTTATGGTTTGGTTTCTCATATTTTTTTATGCCTTTTATGGTTTGCTTTATTGTGTTTGTGGTTTGCATTGAGAAATTTCAGGTTTGTTTTCAAAAACTTTGTGGTTTGCATTGTGAGGTTTCTGGTTTGTTTTAATATATTTGTGGTTTGCATTAGGACGTTTATGGTTTGCTTTTTTGTGGTTTGCATTAGGAGGTTTCTGGTGTGCTTTCGCAAATGTTGTGGTTTGCTTTGTGAGGTTTGTGGTTTGTTTTAGGAGATTTGTGGTATGCATTAGGAGGATTCTGGTTTGCTTTTTTGTGGTTTGCATTAGGAGGTTTCTGGTGTGCTTTCGGAAATGTTGTGGTTTGCTTTGTGAGGTTTGTGGTTTGTTTTAGGAGATTTGTGGTATGCATTAGGAGGATTCTGGTTTGCTTTATTGTGTTTCTGGTGTGCTTTCGAATTTTTTGTGGTTTGCTTTGCGAGGTTTCTGGTTTGTTTTAATATATTTGTGATTTGCTTTAGGAGGATTCTGGTTTGCTTCACCGTGTTTGTGGTTTGTATTAGGGGGTTTCTGGTGTGCTTTAGAAATATTTATGGTTTGTTTTACCGTGTTTCTGGTATGTTTTAGTCAATTTATGATATGCATTAGGAGGTTTCTAGTATGCTTTCGAAATAATTGTGGTATGCTTTGTAAGGTTTGTTATTCTATCCGACGTTCTTACTAGATGAACAAAACGAGGCATCCACATTATCCATCCACGATGAACAAAACGAAGAAGAAAAAAAATAGTAGAATCACTCATTCACTATACATGGCTTCCTCACCATC